AGAATAGAATAGAATAGAATAGAATAGAATAGAATAACTATTGTCATTTTGAATGTACACTAATTGGCATACATTAAAATGAAATTTTGTTGCAAACAGCTCTCAAAGGGTCACTACCTCCAATATACACAACATAAATATGACAAAAATAAATACAGAATTATGCATATACCCACGTATATGACACAGAGAAACAACACAGTGTAGTTCGGATTATGTATACAAGGTACTTCAAGAGGTAATCAGAGAAAACATGCTGTCGACAGGTTCCAATGGCAGCAGAAAATATAAGACATAGACCAGGTCAGTGAATGGCCTTCCTAGGTACAGATAGCCCTCAACTTACAACAGTTCATTTAATGGCCGTTCAAAGTTACAACGGTACTAAAATGTGAATTATGACTGTTTTTCACAGTTGTGCCCGTAGCAGCATCCCATGGTCACGTGGTCAAAATTCAGATGCTTGGCAAACTAACACATATTTTTGATAGTTATAGTGTCCCAGGTTCATCTGATCCCCTTTTTGCGACCTTCTGACAAGCAAAGTCAACAGGGAAGCCAGCTTCACTTCACAGCCACGTTACTCAGTTGACAGCTGCAGGTATTCACTTAACAACTGTGGCAAGAAAGGTCATAAAATGGGGCAAAACTCAATAACTGTCTCGCTTAGCAAAATAAATTTTGGGCTCAGTTGTGGTCGTAAGTCGAGGACTCCTTGTGTTCTTGGGCTAATTCCCCTGCTTGTTATTTTCTCGATAATGTTGGGACCGATGGAAGTCCACAGATTTGAGAGGGACACAAGTGGCCCATCCCAGCTCTAGACTCTGCTGCAGGCCACTTGGTCCCTGTTCCGAAAACTTTCTCAGAAGCCAGATTGGGCTTCTCAGATGGGACGCCCAAGATTGGGGAGCTGTAAAAAATGTACCTGGGAACATGATATGGATCCTGCTTGGCACTCAGATCTGTCCCTAATCGTCCGTGCCATTTTGAATTGCAGATACGAGTACTGCTGTTTCTATGGGTAACATGGCGACTTGCACACACTCAAAAAGGACGAGGGGGGACATGATAGCAGTGTTCCAACATCTCAGGGGCTGTCACAAAGAAGGGGGAGTCAAGTATTCTCCAAAGCGCCTGAAGGCAGGACAAGAAGCAACGGATGGAAACTAATCAAGGAGAGAAGCAACCTAGAACTAAGGAGAAACTTTCTGACAGAACAATTAACCAGTGAAACAACCTGCCTCCAGAAGCGGTGAATGCTCCAACACTGGAACTGTTTAAGAAGAGACTGGACAGCCATTTGTCTGAAATGGTATAGGGCAGGGATAAGCAACCTTATCTCTTTTATGACTCGTGGACTTTAACTCCCAGAATTCCTGAGCCAACATGGCTCAGCTTGGAAACTCTCCCTTTCCCCTCAGCTTGGCTGGCTCAGGAATTCTGGGAGTTGAAGACCACGAGTCATAAAAGAGCCACGGTTGCCTACCCCTGGTATAGGGTTTCCTGCCTGAGCAGGGGGTTGGACTAGATAACCTCCAAGGTCCCTTCCAACTTTATTATTATTATTATTATTATTATTATTATTATTATTATTATTAGTCTAAAACATTTGGGCTTTTAGAAAAACGAGTTCCCTCAAAATGGCCCCGCGGGAGAGTACAGGTGGTCCTCGACTTGCCACCACAATTGAGCCCAAAATTTCTGTTGCTAAGCAAGGCATTGTTAAGTGAGTTTTGCCCCATTTTAGGACCTTTCTTCCCACAGTTGAATCACTGCAGTTGTTAAGTTAGCAACACGGTTGTCAAGTGAATCCAGCCTCCCCCTTGACTTGTCAGACGGTCAGAAAAGGGGATCACATGACATGGACCATCTTAAATGCATGCTTGTTGCCAAGCATCCGAATTCTAATCATGAGACCCTGGGATGCTGCTAGGGTTGTAAGTTTGGAGAGCAATCATAAGTCATTTTTTTCAGTGCGGTTGTAACTTCGAGCAGTCACTAAGCAAATGGTTGTAAGTCAAGGAGTACCTGTAACTGGACACCTGAAGGATAGTATGGATGGATGGCAGAAATCTTGGATGATACCATTCAACAACATTTTGCTTCAGGCGCATTTTATGGTCGGTCAAATTCCTGTAGGGCTTGGCCTTGTGTAGCTGCAGGGCTTTTTTTCAGCCGGAACGCGGCGGAACCGCNTTCCGGCACCTTTTTCCGGGCCGGCCGCACCGGAAATAGCCCCTCCCACACCGGAAATAGCCCCTCCCAAATTTTACTTGCATTCCTGTTCTCTAAAGGGGCGGTCCTAGGGTTTGATGAGGGCGTGGCCAGGTTTGAGTTCCGCCACCTTTTCTCCGAGAAAAAAAGCCCTGTGTAGCTGTAAGCTTAACAGAGACAGCCAGTTCAGTTAGGTCAGGGGTAGGCAACCTTGGCTCTTTTATGACTCGTGGACTTCAACTCCCAGAATTCCTGAGCCAACATGGCTCAGCTTGGAAACTTCTCCTTTTCCCCTCAGCATGGCTGGCTCAGGAATTCTGGGAGTTGAAGTCCACGAGTCATAAAAGAGCCAAGGTTGCCTACCCCTGGGTTAACTGTTTAACGGACCAGGCTAGAATTTGGGAGATTGTGAGTTCTAGTCCTGCCATTGGCATGAAGCCAACCTGGCCTCTCACAGGCGGCCTCTCAGCCCAAGGAAGAAGAAAGCCAGGGCAAACCCGCTTCTGAAATCTTGCCAAGAAACTTATCCTGGCAGTTGCCAGGAGACACAACACACGCAAAAGCTTGACAAAAATGGTTTTCATTTCCATAAATCACCACGCGGGATTCTCTATGAGAGCATCATATTGCTGTCAACTTATGATTTGAACTGGGGACTTGATATACAGTAGTTATAGCCATGTGTGTGTTGCTTTCGTTTTTTATTTTTATAGCAAGTCCAGGTACTTTTCTCCAACTTGGAAAAGGAGGCAGGAGAACCAGAAAAGATGCAGCCACCTAACAAAGCTCATCAAGACGGTAACAGGAAGACCAGTAAGTCTTCTTGGATTTCTCATGTTATCTTAATGTAAAACGAGGACAGCTGCAAGAGGTGAACAAACCCAATGGGGGTTTTAACACATTACACAGGTAGTCCTTGACTTACGACCGAAATTGAGCCCAAAATCTATGTTGCTGAAACATGTGTTAAGTGAATTTTGCCCCATTTTTTATGATTTTTCTTGCCACGGTTGCTAAGTGAGTCACTCCAGTTAATTTACTAACACAGTCACTAAGTGAATCTGGCTTCCCCATTGACGTTGCTCATTGGATGGTCGCAAAAGGGGATCCCGTGACCCCTGGGACACAGCAACCGTCATAAAGGCGAACCAGTTGCCAAGCATCTGAATTTGGATCACGTGACTGTTGGGGATGCTGCGGTGGCCGGAAGTGTGAAAAATGGTCGTAAGTGTAGGTTGTAACGTTGAACGGTCACTAAATGGACTGTTGTACGTTGAGGACTACCTGTAATTGTTAACTAATAAGGCAGTGATGGCGAACCTTTTAGAGGCCGAGTGCCCAAAGTGCAACCCCAAACCCACTGATGTATTGTCGGGTGCTGGGTGGGTGTGGCCCATTGAGTGGGTGTGACCCATTGGGTGGGCGTGGCCCATTGGGTGGATGTGGCTGCAGTGGTAACGGCAGACTGGGTGGGACTAAAAAGTTCAATCAATCAATTCCAACTTTGCGAGATCTTTTTTTTCCCCGCGAGAAGTTGAAATTGATTGACTGAACCTTTTTTTTTTTTTTGCACACGGCGGCGGAGGCCTAAAGTGAAAAGGTTTTATAAAACCCAGCTGAAGGCCCAGGACTGGGGCGACGGCGCGCATGCCCACAGAGAGGGCTCTGAATGCCGCCTCTGGCACCCGTGCCATAGGTTCGCCACCACGGTAATAAGGTATTGGTAACTTGCCTCAACTTTACAAGTAGCAGAAGAAGCATTCTCTTTTCCCCTTCCATCAGGCCTTTGGTGGCACCACTGCAGCGTGGCTGGGCAGGTGGGCAGGCATTACGGAGGGTGGGAAGGTGGAGGGTGGTAGGCACACCTACATTATGAAACAGGAGCTATCTGGGATCTTGTACTTCGTAGCTGAGCTGTAAGAGAAGCGATGGAAGTGGCAGCGAGTTACAGGCGCAATCTGCAACCTTCCTTGCTGCTTCCCCATTGACTTTGCTTGTGGGAAACCAGTGGAGAAAGTCCCAAACGATGATCACATGTCTACTAGACCCTGCAACACTTGTGAGCTGGTTGCCAAGTGCCTGGATTGTAATCGCGTGACCGCGGGCTGGCTGAGACAACCCGAACATCGCTTATTACATTCCCCTCGTTCAGCACCATCGTAATTCTGAACAGCCACAAAATGAGTGGTCATCAATCAAGAAATATCTCTGCGGGCTCCCTTTTCTACTTTATTTTAACTTTAGGCAATATTTCCTCCCGCTGTTAATGCAGGGTCGATTGCAGGTGTGGGAAATATGAATTAAACACCTCAGTTGATTATCGTGGTGGCAGAGTAAAAGCAATTCTGAAGACCAAAACAGAGAGAGGAAAAGTGGTCGGGATTTTGTTGTTGTTGTTTTTTTAAAAAAATCACTCTCTTTTTTTCACCCTTTGCAAATCAGGTAACGGACAAGAGAAGGCAACCCTGGGAGGCACCGTTGAGCTGAAGAGTTTGGGCCACTCGGAACCCCACGAAGCCCAAACTAATAGTTTTCGATTTCGTGAGAACGCAGGAACACCTGGACATCGGCAGAGAGGCAAAACTAACTTGGACTGCCCTCTAGGCCCGGTAGGAAAGCGATCCCCACTTTGGGAGGAAGGAAACGGTGGTTTGGATGAAAATGCCATTCAGCAGGGGATTAAGCAGATCTTTGATCTCCTTGAGACCCCAAGAAGGCCAGGGGTGCCAAAGCCCCATAGATGCTCATACTGTGGAAAAAACACAAGCTGCAGATCGCAGCTGATTATGCACGAGAGGATCCACATGGGAGAAAAACCATACAGATGCTCCGAATGTGGCAAAAACTTTGGTCGAAACAGTTCCCTGGTGGCTCACCGAAGGACCCACACCGGAGAAAAGCCCTACGAATGCTCTGAGTGTGGGAAGGTCTTTCGCTGCAGCTCCAATCTTTTCATACACAAAAGGACCCACACTGGAGAAAAGGCCTATCAGTGCTCTCAGTGCAGCAAAAGGTTTAGCGAGCACACCACCCTCGTGATTCATAAGAGGACTCACACGGGAGAAAAACCGTTTGAGTGTCCGGAGTGCGGGAAAAGCTTTAATACTAGTTCAAACCTTACAAGTCATGCGAAGTTGCACACGGGAGAGAAACCCCACAAATGTTTGCAGTGTGGGAAAAGTTTCAGTCGGAATTCCAATCTGGTGATACACCTGAGGACTCACACGGGAGAAAAACCATACGAGTGTCCCGATTGTGGGAAAGGTTTCACAACAAGCTCTAATCTAATCAGTCATGTCAGTTTACACACGGGCGAGAAGCCGTTTAGGTGCCCAAACTGTAGTCAGTGTTTCAGCCACAACTCTACTCTTACTAAACACAAGAGGACACATTTAGGAGAAAAGACCATCAGCATTCTGATTGCAAGAAAAGCTTGATGATCCCTCTGGGATCTTAGAAAACTTCCAAGAGTTCACCAGGATACACACCAGCTTGCTTGTTTCCAGATTGCTGGGTTATTTTCAGCCAATGAGACAACTTTATTAAACACGAGAGACTCAACCAGAAGAAATGCTCTGTGCACAAGAATTGCTTGCAAAAATCAATGAATCATTAAGTGAGGATTAGGATTCCAACAAGAGCTGTCTGAAAGCAAAGTAAGAATCTAAAGATAACTATGCAGAATAAAAATATTCCTAAGGCATCAAAACTATCCTTATTGTATTTAACTTGTTATTACAGAAAGATAGGAGGCCTGGTTGCGCAGTGGTTAGAATGTAGTATTGCAGGCTAACTCTGCCCACAGTTTAGAATTTGATCCCAGCGGACTCAAGATTGACTCAGCCACTGCATTCTCTACCTGCTAAAACTTTTGGATAGTCTTCAAGGGCAGCGCATGCAGAGTTCATTGAAGGCATCCAATAAACAGGTGGCATGGACAGAATTGACCGTAACCAGGGCCTGCAGATCCAGGAACAGCCACCACTGGCTCTCAAATCAATCAGTAATAAAAGCTTTAGATTGCAGAGAGTTTTTGATCTCCGGTGACAGCCAACCCCTGCCAAAGTGCAGGAATTTTTAGATCAGCTTCCAATCTGCAAACTAGTGGCCTCCAAATGTTTTGCCCAAGCAGCCTGGGAATTCCCAAGACTTCAATCTTAGTCCTCTGGAAATTGGGAAGGCTGCTCTAACGAGATTTGTACTCCCCAATAATACAGAGGGGATGATAGTATCGCCTATATCCTGAGGTCGTTGGAAACAATGCGGGAAGACACTTCCAGGTTTTGTCCCGCATTATTCTATTAATAAGATGAAGACGGCAAGTTGTTAATCATTTAGGGCTCCGCACAAAAAAAAAAAAAAAAGAACTTCATGAACTTTTAGGGCCCAGCAAGCACCTGCCTAATTTTGGGATGCTAGAGATCGGACGATCTAGCTTCAGACGGCTAGATGGCGCTCTATGGTTAGGCAAGAAGCGCGCCGGCAAAATCGCAAATACAGTAGCAGCGCCTGTAGCTGAACCGAAAGGAATTGAGACCATAGAGTCGTAGGTTGCTAGAGAGAATATGGAGGAGAGGAGAAGCACCGAGAAACCTCCTCTTCAGGCTTCCTAATGAGAGGATGGTGGAAGCTGGAAGGTGAGTTGAGGACAGGTCGGAGGAGGGGCCGGGAGCAATTAAGTTTGTTTATTTCGCTCCACGGTGTAGCAGCACACAAACAACTATGCTGAAATACGTCGTCTGCTGCATATTCCTTCCCCCTCTCCCAGCCCAATTTTATTCCACTAGAGCTGCACGCTTTAAGCTGCCTGCATTTTCTGTTGATTGGGAGATTTCAGCGTCACATTCGCTTTAGGGTTGATTCCTGGTGCTTTGTATGAGCGTGTTGTTTTGTTTGCAAGTGAGGAGCTTCATAGGCAAAAACGGTGCTTTAAATTTTGCAGAGGCTTTGGGTACCATTGCTTCTGTTAATGCCCACACCCTGTACCTATTTCTGAGACGTTTTGCAGATAGAAAATACACATTATTATTATTATTATTATTATTATTATTATTATTATTATTAACATCCTGCGCATGCCTGAAGATGGCGGGTGGCTCCGGGTAGCTCCGTAGCAGCGGAGCTCGAAAGGACGGCAGAGGGGAGATTCGGAGGTCCCCGGAGGTCCGGAGACCCTTTCTTGGGTGACTCTCTCTCCCGGGACCGGGACCCGGGACTTGGGACGCTGGACTCGAGATCTGGGACGCGAGGAGATGCCGGGACGCGGGG